TGTTGATTTATCACGAGGAATTATTCTTAAGGTCAAGTAATGAAGTATGGAGTTTGTATATGTATTATAACAATCTACTTCGGAGGAGTAAAACAGCTTGCTTTGGTTGGATCTTAATATTACCCTTTACCCACAATGCTTTGTTGCTGGAATGTTATGGCTGACAGTTGAATTTGTAAGCTGGTATAAAACTTCATGATATTCTCTTCTCCTTGCATAGTGAGGATAGGTGGATCATCCAAATGTCAAGATTTCTGTTTTGTAGGTGCCTCAGGCTTCCACTAAATTGCTTTTGGAAAGTTTGAGAAGATTAGCTGTGTCGTATCCTTAAGCGGATAGCAAATTAGGATTGCAGATCTCTTAGAGGAGCTCGCTGCCATATTATCTTGTGAACACTTTGTAGTTCTCAAATCTTGAGTTTCAATCTAAATGTGCTTGTGGTATTGAAACTAGTTCATCTTTTTGTGCATGTGTTCACTTTTACGGAGTAGTGCTCACTATTCAATAACTCAGTTTTGCTTTTCTTTCCTTTGTAAATGAAAAATAACCAAGACTATTATATTAGGAGTGATTAGGTTGTGACGACTTACAAGATTTCAAACACCCCCCACATTTGTGTTCATGATATTATTCTGGATGAAAGCATGAATAAGATTGGACTTTACTAAGATGTTCTGTTATGACTTAGGCATGTATACCTTATGTTTTAAGTGTAGTTAAGGTTGGGTTTGATGCAGGTTACCAGGTTTGGAAATTTAGGAAACATTTCTTGTCAAAACTATTACAATTTTTTTGTTTGTTTGTTTGTTTATTTTGGGTTCTAGTGACAAATTGTCCGTGGGTGAGAACTGAGAAACAAACTTGAGAAAGTTATAGGGCATTACGCTATAAATAGCTTTCGTTAGCCATGAATAAACTGTGCGCGCTTCATTCATCTCATACTCTGCTATGTGGAAAAACCATGTATTATATTGTCGTGCTGGTAAATTTGTATGCTACAAATTTGAAAATGTAATATTGGATTCATGAGCTTTTGGACAACCAAAGGAACAAACACCATCGCCTAGTGTTCTACTAGCATTTGGGATGACTTCATTGTTTTAATTTTGCCATTTCGATTCGAGTCTGTTTTGTGGGTTGTGCCTGGAATTTTATTTCTTTTTTGGTTCAGTGCTAAGAAAAACTCGATACGGGAGCTCCAAAGATATGCAGACTCAGATTCATTTATTCATGACTTGGATGATTAATCTCAATTTGTAATTTGAATTCTCATGTTAGTTTGAAAATGTCAAGCTCCTTTTGGCTTAGGAGCATTGAGCATGGCATCTTCATTGATAGTGGTTCTCAAACCTCTTTGCTTTCTGTTGGTCATTAATTGGCATTGCAACCCCTATGTAAGCTAATAATTGTGCTTGATGCCCGATGATAGCTTTCTATCAGTGAATATGTGACAGCAACTTGGGGAAAACTCTACGGTACCGAATTTGTTTTTTGGTATTGGTACCGTCAATTACTATTTGGTATGGTGAAGTTACAACTTTGAAAAAAGAAATTATAATTGTTTAAGGGAGGTTATGATGGATCACATAGACTAACGATCAATCATGAAAAACGTAGTGTCAATCTCAACATTTCATAATCAATCATTCCTATTAAAGTTGTAACTTATACATAAAAAAAGTTAGTAATTTTCAATACTAGTGTGGTCGGTGTTATTTTAGAAGTTCCCACAACTTGGCCTTCTGTCCACTTCAGTTATGAACATGACAAGAATCATAGCTGCCTGTGGCTGTATGTCATCCAAGCAATTGGAGCAACAGGTTTGAGTTATGATATTGGTGGGACACTCGGTACCGTTCTTCTTCTGGTCTTGATTGATTCTGTGAAGGTCATTCACGTACCCAACTAAAAATTACAAGAACCATGAGAGATTCCCTCAGCTCTTTCCTATTGTTTAGCTCCGCAAATCTCACTAACGATTAATCATGTTGAATTTGTATTGTGTTTAAGGATAAAGTTATGCAAATCATAGTCAACAACTAATTTTATGTTGAGGTTAAATTGTGTCATATATTAATCGTGTTTAAAAATTTTAAATCGTATTTAATTAAATTTGTGTTGACCTATTTAACCTTTATATGCATACTTGCATGGGAAAATCTTGCAATTGTTGAGATAGCTGATTAACTGTGAAACTTGAATGATTGGCTCCTACAACAACGTATGGAGTCAGGAAGGGGGTCGATAACGTGTCCGATTTTTCTCCTCTAATGCCTAAGTCAATAAGAGTTCAAATGAAATAAAAGTTATGATAAGACTTTTACTCTTCTAAATTGTTTACGAAAACATACTTGAGATCCCATTCAATGGAATATTTATACCTTCAAATAGGATGATGTAGTGGTATAGATGTCCCATCAAGCCGATTGAGGGGAGCTTCATAGACACACTTATCAATGAGCTTATATTTTTTTGAGCCGTGTAATTACTAGGCTTATGGAAAGTCTGTATTAATTCGAGACCTAATATTGTAATAATTAGCTATCTCGGGGGTGTCGAACACCCAATGCACATCCTCTCGACATTTAATGATCTTTGCAAGTTATTTATTAAGCTATTGGTTGCAATCATTAAATACATTATCTCTGAGAGCACGATGCCAGTCAGACCATCCTTTTATTTGAATCTTATGGAATAATCTTGATACGATCTATTAGTGTGAATAATAATTTATCTAATACTAGTTGGTGTACACGTGCTTTGCACGTGGACAATTTCATTAGAATATTTTTTTTAGCGCCAATATTAGAAAAAGTATCCCCAATAATATAAATAGCCGAAGTAAGCTCAATAAGATTATGATTTTATTTACCCCAAAAAATATTGAGATATTAATTTCTTTTTTTGGGGGGTGAGGATTCAAAAGCTGGAAAAGTTTTAATCTTTATTTGCTTGACTTAAAATAAATAATATTTTTCAAAGGTACACAAACTAATAACTGTTAGTTTTTTCGGTGTTTAATATAAAGTTCATGACACAGCTTTTGACATAATAATCCATTGAAAGTATCAGATAAATTATTGTGATTATTGTAATTCTATTACCTTAATTTGACTTACATTAAGTGAAAATAGTGGGATTACACTCAATAAAATAGTGTCTATTGATCATTCGTTTGTAAAATCTAATTACATTTGACATTGTAAATATACACCTAATAAAGAGATAGACTATCTAATTCGCAGTTATGTCAGATACAAGACATGCTCACTTGAAAAGAGGATCACATAATCTTACTTGTACTCTTTGTTCAATGTTTTTACAGCTTTTTCTTGAAATATTTTTTTCAAGATACAGAAGAGTGGAAAAAAAATAAGGAAGAGTTGAAGTTAAAATTAATTGTCCAATTAACATTCAATCAAATAGCCAAAAAAACTAAACAAGTTCTTATAGCATTATGTTTGTGCACATAAATTTATGATCAAGATTATCAGCATACAAAGGCAAACCCACAAGCTCCTTTTATTTTTTGAGAGAATTGCAAGCCCCCACAGATATAAATAGTGGCCAAAGTGATTACCTACTAATCAATCTTAGCGATATAGAGGAGGCACTTTCATGTCAAACAAATACATCAAGTAAGGAAATTTTTTACAACAATCCTTGAAACCTAGTAGAAAAGACAAAAAGTTTTCAAAGTTTTTTTATAGTTACCATAAACTCTTAGTTTTTTCATGACCATAAAACCAAAACATCAAGTCAGGATTTAATTTTCTAGATTTCTTGTAGTAACACACAACTTTTGGCCAATAAACATTAAAATCTCAAATAAATTTATGTGGTTAGAATTAGAAGAATAAATGTTGTCGAGTCCATTATATGGGAAAACAAAAAGGTCAGAGAAAATGTGATAGTACTGTTTTGTTATTACTCATAATGGTATGAACATCATTAGAGTTTAAATCAATAATTAAAGTTGAAATGAATACATGAAAATATTAAGTTTATGCACATAATTAATTTAAGGAGATGAAAGAATAGGAGATGAGTATGTAATTAATTTGAGAAGATGAAAGAAAATTGTTCAAGGAAATTTTATGTTTTATGAAAAGTATTATAGTTAATCAAAAGTTTTTCATTTTTATTGACATTTTATAATAGTATAGATAGATAGGTATAAATTAAACATAAATGACTATCAAACATGTTTTATATTTATATTTTTTATTTTTTAAAAATAAAAAAATAAAAACGTTACCGAACGCAACATAAATTTTTCATGCTGACCGGAAGGTAATAGGCATTGACATCACATACGATGTTAAAATTTTAAATTTGATTAATAATTTCAGGCAAACAGAAATCGTAAAAATTGATTAACAAAGTTTCAAATTTCAACAACGAAACAAAATTTTGACCTAATATTAAAAGACGAATAATTTGACTTTTTATTTGAAACCATTTCACAATAATTAGGAAGTTTATGATTAGTGAATTTCTCGACCACCTCAATACATGATTGATGGTGTATGTTGATATGAAAATTGTATGGTGTAGCTATGATGCAAATAAAGATAGGAACAAAAAAAGGAACACTAATGCATGGACCAATACTGTTAGACACTATTCTCGAGTTTGAGCTTTCAAATAGCCGACATATGCATAAGTTCAAAATCATATGTTCATATTGGAGGTGTTGGCCGCCATCTATGACTCATTATTAAATATATTTTGGAGTCTAAATCATCCACTAATCATGAATCTATACCAGTAAAATAGTCAAGAGGAAAACTGCGAACATATGAGAATATTAGAATTATATTCACCTGTCCACAATTATCTAAAATCGAACCTATTTACCCCAAAATACAAATTAGGGGTACCACTGTGCTTACTGAAGCCTGCACCTTTATGCAAATGAATTTAACTAAACCAATAATAGTTTTTAAAATTATAATTTAAAAAAGATAAATATAAACATGTTACCACATAAAATACAACTCACAAAAAACATTCATTGTTTCCCTAGGGAATATTACATCCTCTAGGATCACAGAAATGCTAACGGTCGGTGTAAAATCAATAATGTTCAATTTTAAGAGAAGATTTCTGATCAAGCTTGCCAATACAGACTAAAGCATCAAAACAAATGAGATTGTGGAAACAAGGCTAGTGACAAATAGTAGTAAGATACTAACATACAAAATAATCAATGATGACAACAGTTTTTGGTCAGCAACGACAACAAATAAGAAGAACCTTTTGCAAGGGTGAAGCCTTAAGAGAACTAAGAAAATAAATGGACACTTTCCTACAGACTCTTTAGTGCACAACAAAAACACATTCTATCATGAATAATAAATAGGAATTTATATATATATATATATATATATATATATATATATATATATATAGATATAATATTTTTATTACAACAATAATTACAGGATTTAAAATTTTCATTAACTATACAAAAGATAATATAAGAATCAATTATTTTATTAAGGATGTTTAGTTTATCAATTTTTTTTTCTTATTGTTAACATTTTATGGTAATATAAATATCACCTTTCAATGAGACCACGCCACTGCATAGTATTTAATGCTTGGGCACATGAAAAATTCCCTCCAATCATGACTCGACACTGATACGATGCCTTAGTGTTTTACTATTTGAGTTTATGTATTGAGCTATAATATATATAAAATATCCCGCCGTCAATATTGATACACCATTATAAGAACATATTTAATAAAACAGTTAGACGACGTAAATTGTGTTAGTGTATCTCAAGAAAATAAAAATGATCAACTTCAAGATAATTCAAACTTGGATTTATCTTCAAGATAATTCATGATGATAAACTTGAGTTTATCTTTGGAGTCATGATAATCTGTTAACCAAAGTTATCAATATTTTGTAAATAGCTAAATGTTGATATACTTAAATCTTTCAAATGTAAAGAGATATACTCTAATGTAACTGTAGGGGATTTATTCGCGCGTTCGGGATGTCCTCCCCCCACAGAAGGATTTCAGCNTCGAGTCCATTATATGGGAAAACAAAAAGGTCAGAGAAAATGTGATAGTACTGTTTTGTTATTACTCATAATGGTATGAACATCATTAGAGTTTAAATCAATAATTAAAGTTGAAATGAATACATGAAAATATTAAGTTTATGCACATAATTAATTTACAGAGATGAAAGAATAGGAGAGAAGTACGTAATTAATTGGAGAAGACAAAAGAAAATTGTTTAAGGAAATTTTATGTTTTATGAAAAGAATTATAGTCAATCAAAAGTGTTTCATTTTTGTTGATATTTTATAGTAGTATAGATAGATAGATATAAATTAAACATAAATGACTATCAAATATGTTTTATATNTTACTGCCGAACGCGCGCAGGTCAATTGAAATCCTTCTGTGGGGGGAGGACATCCCGAACGCGCAGATAAATCCCCTACAGTAACTAACTCTTCTATAAATTGATATCAATGAAATAGTGTTTGGTATTCGGTGCCANAATTAAACATAAATGACTATCAAACATGTTTTATATTTATATTTTTTATTTTTTAAAAATGCAAAAATAAAAACGTTACCGAACGCAACATAAATTTTTCATGCTGACCGGAAGGTAACAGGCATTGACATCACATACGATGTTAAAATTTTAAATTTGATTAATAATTTCAGGCANCAACTCATTTTCTTACATGGTATCAGAGCAAATTGGTTAACACCATCTGCAATTTTTTTTTTCTCTCATGGCAACAACAAGCAATGATGCAGCTACTGTATTTTCTATTCCTAATATGGCTCATCTGGTTTCGGTTAAACTAGATGACAACAATTATTTGATGTGGGTTTGTCAATTTCTTCCTATTCTTAGGACCAATGGGCTCTTGGGTATTGTTGAAGGCACAGAGCCTTGCCCACCAAAATATCTTCAAGATACTGAAGGTAAAACCACTACCACCTTGAACCCAGAATTCATTATCTGGGAGAAAAAGGACCAGTATCTACTAAGTTGGTTCATTGCCACCTTATCAGAGAAAGTTGTCACTACAGTGTACGGTTTAAACACCTCTCGTCAGGTGTGGACTGCATTGGCCAATCGATACGCTTCGCCATCACGATCCCGTATCAATCACTTGCGTTGCCAATTACAGAATATTCATCAAGGGGCAAAATCATGTTCTGAGTTTATTCATGCTGCAAAGAGCTTGGCTGATCAACTGGCTATTGTTGGAAAGCCAGTAGAAGATGAAGATCTTATCTCTTATATTGTTGGTGGTTTAAGTCCAATGTACAACCCATTCATGACTTCTTTTGCTTTTGCTTCAAGAGAAGGTTCATTGACTNATACAACCCATTCGTGACTTCTTTTGCTTTTGCTTCAAGAGAAGGACCACTAACTTTAGAAGAATTTCAATCTGAGTTACTCAGTTTTGAACAAATGCTTGAAAATCAGAATGCTGCAATTCAACCTGATCCTGGTGCATTTGCTCTCTATTCACAAAAGCCAAATAATTTCCATCAGAAGTATAAATCTAGCAACCACACATACTGAAATCCACCAAAGTTTTTCAATCCATTGAGAGGTTCAACTCAAAAGAAGCCTTTCACTTCCATTGCCAGGTCATCACAAGGTAAATATAATGCTAATCAATATGATAATTCTGGTGCTAATCTGTCTTCTTGTCAAATTTGTGGGAAAAATAACCATCAAGCCTTGGATTGCTTTCATCGAATGGATTTCGCATATCAAGGAAGACACCCTCCAAGTGAACTTGCAGCAATGGTAGCATAGTCAAATGTCTTGCGCGAAGAAAATAAGTGGCTCGCAGACAGTGGAGCTAACAACCATATTACAGCAAAATTGGAGAATCTCACTCTACAACAACCATATAAGGGTTCCGAAACTATAGCAGTTGGAAATGGTGGTGGTGGTCTTCACATTGCCAATACTGGTTCATCCTCTTTGTTAACTCATAATTCTACCCTTTATTTGAATAACATTTTACACTGTCCTAATGCCTCTACAAACTTGTTGTCCATACAAAAATTCTGTCAAGACAATAATTGTATCTTTAAATTGACTGACACCTACTTTGTTGTGAAGGACAATCTCACAGGGGCGATCCTCTTGCAAGGGCCGAGTGAAGACGGTCTCTATCTTGTGCGACTGAAGCAGTTTGCCGTGAATAAAGGAGGAGGACCTGTAGCCTTGGTTGGAGTTAAAACCTCTATGTCAATTTGGCATAAATGCTTAGGCCATCCAAACAGTCAAGTTTTACGTAAGATGATCAAAAGCCAGCAGCTACCCGTGTGTCATTTTCGTACCAATTCATCTTTATGTATTACTTGTCAATTGGCTAAGAGCAAAAAATTTCCATTTCAAGAGTCTACACATGTGACTTCGTCTTCTTTAGAAATAATCCACAGTGATATTTGGACGTCGCCAATTTTGTCTATTGGTGGATGTAAATTTTATGCTGTGTTTGTCGATGATTATTCCAGATATTCATGGTTATTCCCATTAAAACAAAAATCTGATTTGTTCAGTTATTTTGTGAAATTTAAGTGCTTGAGTGAAAACTTGTTCTCCTCTAAAATCAAACAATTACAAATTCATGGAGGAGGAGAATATACATTACATCCTTTCACAAAATATCTCTCAGATCATGGGATTTTCCATAGGATTACATGTCCTAGTACATCACAACAAAATGGTATAGCCGAGAGAAAACATTGGCATATCATAGAAACTGGTCTGGTTTTGTTATCTGAGTCTCATCTTCCTTCAAGATACTGGTTAGAAGCATTTCAAACTGCTGTCTATTTAATAAATAGACTAGCAACTCCTATTCTGAAATATGCCACTCCATACAGCAAGATTTTCAAGTTTGAGCTAGAATATGCAACTTTAAAAGTGTTTGGTTGTGCTTGTTATCCTCTATTGCAACCATACACAAAGCACAAATTAGAATACCGAAGTAAGCAATGCATATTCTTGGGTTATATCTCCAATCAAAAAGGCTACAGATGCTTAGATCCGATGACCAACAAAATTTATATATCACAGCATGTTATGTTCGATGAACACCTGTTTCCGGCACAGAATAAGGTCGTTTCATCACCCTCTTCAAGTGGTTCATCCCAAAATGAAGGTATTGCACTTCTACTTCCATCTGATTTTTATTCTATTAATTCACTTTCCAACCATACTTTGCTAGACCCCAACACCTCATTACTTGAATCCTCACCTTTGTCACCCAATACTTCGGTCACTCCACATTCTTATCCTACCAATGTGTTCCCCACACACACACCAGACAATTCCATAAATGCACAAGTTATTGTTGCTGAACCCATGATCACACAAAGTCAGTCCAGTGTTCCTTCTGATATCTCTCCTGATTTATCTTCACAAGCTGAGCCCTCTTCCACTCATATCATTACTCGATCTCAAACAAGTAGTCTTAAACCAAGGGATTTTTCAGACTTTCATTTATATTATTCTACTAAGCATCCCTTAAAGGCTCTGCATGCTACTCTATTACCACCCGAGCCTACTAAATTTTCTCAAGCAGTTTCAGACTCAAATTGGCTTGCTGCTATGGAGACTGAAATCAATGCCTTACTAGAAAATGGTACGTGGTCACTATGTCCTCGGCCAAGAAACAAAAACATCTTCAGGAATAAAGTGAGTGTATAAACTAAAGCAGAAGCCAGATGGAAGTATTGATTGGTACAAAGCAAGGCTAGTTGCCAAAGACTTTAAACAAGTGGACGGGGTGGATTACACAGAAACATTTAGTCCTGTGATTAAGCCTGCTACAGTTTGATTGTTATTGTCAATTGCTGTGCACTACAATTGGCCAATCAAGCAACTTGACGTCTCGAATGCCTTTTTGAATGGTTACTGGGCGAAGAGGTATTTATGGAGCAACCAAAGGGATTTGTTGATAAGGATCATCCTAATTATGTTTGCAAATTACGCAAAACACTTTATGGACTTAAACAGGCTCCACGTGCATGGTTTTATAGGCTGACACAAGTGCTACTTGATCTTGGGTTCGCAGGTTCAATGGTGGACACATCCTTGTTTATTTTTCACAAGCATCCAATTCACTTATTTGTTTTAATTTATGTAGATGATATTATAGTGACCGGAACACATCTTTCAAGTATTAATGACCTCATTGCCAATTTGTAGAAAGAGTTTAAAATGAAGGATCTTGACCCATTAACTTATTTTTTTGGGCATTCATGTTATTCGAAATGATTAGAGCTTACATTTGAACCAGTCAAAATATGTTTTGGAGTTACTTGCTCGAGTGAAGATGTTGGGAGCCAAACCTTATGCAGCACCTTGTACATCCAAGAAGAAATTAACAAAATTTGATGGTGACCCTCTATCGGATCCCTCTCTCTATAGAAATATTGTGGGTGCTCTGCAGTACTGTACACTCACCCGGCTTGATATCTCCTTCTCCGTTAATCAACTTTGTTAATTTCTACATTGTCCAACAACAACTCATTTCACCGTAGCAAAAAGAGTAATTCGGTATCTTAAAGGGACTGTAGACTATGACTTATTTTTCACTCATGGGCCACTAGAACTAAATGTCTATTGTGACTCTAATTGGGCAGGAGACCCAACTGACAGACGATCCACTAGTGGCTATGGGGTGTTTCTTGGGCATTGTTTGATTTATTGGCAGGCAAAGAAACAACCTGTAGTGTTGAGATCAAGTACGGAAGCTGAGTATCGGTCCATGGCAATTGCTACTGCTGAACTCTACTAGTTGCGAATGCTCTTTCAAGAATTGCAAGTTCCATTTGCTTCTGCACCACATTTATGGTGTGATAACATGAGAGCTCTAGCCTTAGCTTCTAATCCAATTTTTCATGCCAGGACCAAGCACATAGAAGTTGACTATCATTTTATCAAAGAGAAGATATTGAAAAAGGATCTTGTTCCTCGATATGTATCTACCACTGATGAGTGTGTTGATATTTTTACAAAAAGATTGACTTCATCTCGGTTCCCATTTTTGCAAGACAAACTCATGATTGTTGCACCTCCCATGAGCTAGAAGGGGACTGTTAGTGTACCTCAAAAAAATGAAAATGATCAACTTCAGGATAATTCAAACTTGGATTTACCTTCAAGATAATTCATGATGATAAACTTGAGTTTATCTTTAGAGTCATGTCATAATAATATGTTAACCAGAGTTATTAATATTTTATAAATAGCTAGATATTGATATATTTAAATCTTTCAAATATAAAGAGATATACTCTAATGTAATTAACTCTTCTATAAATTGATATCAATGAAATAATGTTTGGTATTCGGTGCCAAACCTTTTTTTTTTCAACTTATTTTCTTACAAATTGTTCTATGTATAATTTATCAAACCAACCACAAAACAATCTCTCAAAAAAAGTAAACCAAAAGAAAAAATAATTAAAAAAAGTAACATCCAAATTCCAATTGCCATCCATCTCCCTATCTCATGTGGATGATCCATCACTTTCGCCGGCGGCACCATCCTCGGAATTACTAAAAACAACCCGAATATCTCCCCCAAATCTCCAATCTTCATCATCCACACCACCACCACCTAACTTCTTACTCTCCTCCGAATTCTCCACAGGCATCTTATACCTACAAAGCGGGCAAGACCCATGGATCCCCAACCACTTACCAATACAATCCGAATGGTACCTATGCCTACAAGGCATTTCCTTAACCTCCTCACAAATTTCATACTCACACAAACAAATCGCACACTCGGCCCCTTGTTCTGTTACTTTCACCATGGGCATCGCCTCAATCGACGCCTTTGACGCCGGTAAAGACCCATCTTTGTTTCCGAAATCACGAAACACTGATTCCAACAACTCTCCATAGCCATCAATCATCATAATCGGGTCCATAAAAGCGTTTCTGAACCCGTTTGTGAATATAATACTTTCTTGGTCGATCCGGTCCTGATCTGCTGGTGGTGGTGGTTGTTGTTGTTGTTGGTGGTGGAGGTCTTGTGATGGAGCGGCAGTGGCGAAGCCTATAATCCAAGGGACGAGTATGACTCGTGTTCTGAGCTGTTCTTGAGAGGTAGGCGATGATGACTCGGAAGACATCTCTGGTTGTGACGGAGCGGAAGACATAGCTTCTAGACAATATTCGATTTTAGAGAACAAAACGAACAAAAAAAATTAAAATTTCAGAATGACTGTAATCGATCAATGAGGAGGGTTGATGGAGTCAGAAGGGAGATAAGTACATACAGCGAAGGGAAGGGAAGACCGGTTGGAAAGTTGTAGAATAATCTAGAATTGTCTAGTTAATCCCTTGCGAGCAAGGTTCTTTACTGTATTATAGAATGTTCACGTGGGCTTCGACTTATGTTTTTTTCTGAAGCGGTGATAGAATTCTTGGATCACTTGAGGGCCCAACCCAGCTTCGAAAGTAATACTTAATTATGGGATTTTTTAAAAGAATATTTATTAGAGTGGTCAATGTGTAAATACCGAAGTACATAGGTTTAGTGTTACAACATCTGTTTTGATTTATTAAAAAATTAGAGGTAATTCGGTGCAATGTGAATGATTTTGAGAGGAATGTTGGCGGTCATTGAATAAATGTATTTGAGATCATCAAATAAATTTTTAAAACTTATCTTATTTTATATTATAAAATTAGATAACACGATAAAACATGATTTGATTATACCGCTATCAGTGTATAGTGTAAGTTTTTGTTTACATCATAGAATTATAAGGTATGTCTGAGAGAAGAAGCACCTTGTTACAGATTGAAGTATTTAAACATAAATTAAAATTATTTAAATTTGAATTAGGAAAGAGAGGTTTTGAGAAGACTATTATCCTCAAATACTTAATTACTAGAATTTTAAAATATTTAATTAGTTTCACCCAATCATATTATTCTATGTGTCTTATGTAACAATTCTCACCACTTTTTAAAATTATTTCAAATTTTTTAAAAATTTAGGAGTAGGGTGAAGATGGATAGAGATTATATATTTAGTTTATTGCACGGCATGGATAATAGTTAAAAACTATGAAAATACAATACTTGTGATAATATTACTCATTTAAAGAGGTAAATAAAATAAAAATAAATTTGTGTTAAGGAAGATTATAATATTTAAGTTCACAAAGTTGAATCATTTCCCGGTCCACCTGAACCGGAATGGTGGCAATAAACCGGTCTAGCCGACCTTGTCATTTGTCTGCCCCAAATATTAGTACCAATGACAGCGTCTCTGTCTGCCTGTCTGTCTGTCTGTCTCCGTCCCTCCGTCCCTCCCTTCCTCTCCTTTGGGCTAAATTGCGTAAAATACACTCGATACATTCCAACCAAAAGAAAGAAAATAGCGAAACATACAGAAACAGGAGTGAGCTAACAAGTGTCATTGGGCTTTGGTTCAAGGGTTTCGTCTTCACGAACCCGAAAAACCGATAGGCTCTTTGTCTTATCGTTACGCCCTAGCTGGTTCGGTAGAGCTCCGATTTTCCGTACAGTTATGGACTCCTCCGGTTTGAATAGCTTCGACATCTTTCAGATTTACAGGCGATATTGCGGTACCCTTATCAATCATCTCGGTTTTTTGTCCTCTATATATCTATATATATATATATATATGTATCTTAAAATTTCGTTGGTGATTTTCTTTTTCTTGTTTTTCTTGAATTTTCTTTTCCTTAACGAATGCTATGTTGTCCATGGATTTAAAATTTTGATTTAAGGATATAAATTAGCTCAGCAACTTATGAGCTTATTTACGTTAATCCATAGGTGATGATTATTGAAGATGCTATATTTGAATTGAAAGATTTACTGGTTAAGTTCTTGAGTTTATTTAAAATATTTGAAAGGCTTTTAGTTAACCTTTCTCCACATTCGCATGTGATAGGTAGCTTGTAAGGCTTTGATCTTGATAGCACTACATATAATATGTGTGTGCACCACCGCCCCCCCCTCCCCAAAAAAAAAATAAAAAAATTTAATAAATCGCAATTGGTTTTTTTTTTTTTTTTTTTCTGTTCGCTTGTGTTTTTTTGATGGGGTTGGTGTTGGAGTATTTGTTACAAGATTTGGTGTTTTGGTCATTTAGTGCAGAAAAAGGTTCATATTGGCTATTCAGAAAGGATCAGTGATTCTGCCATTAAGGGCTTGACATTGGGTTTTGAAAGCATGCCTTTAGAACTGAATAAATGGTGAAGAAGAATGTTGGTTATTGGATGAGCAAAAGCTCTGTGCTTGTACTTTTGTATTGCTACAAACAATGGTTGCTAGACAGAATTGAATAGAGAGAGAGGCATTTATAGTATATCCGAAAATAAATGTGATGTGAGTCTTTGTCAAAATAAATTTTTAGATTGGTCAAGAAGGTAGGGAAAAATCAAGAGATATACCATACAATAAAAATTTGATTAACATCTGCGTGTTTGTATTGTACTTATGTGATGACCAATGTCCAGACAAATTTCTTTTGCTTTATTATTAGTGTATTTTTTGGGTATGAACGTCTAAACCACTTGATGTTCTCTGATATAGAAAAATTTTTCCAGGGGAGAATTAACTGTTGGAAAACTTTCTTTATGATGCGTGATTCATAGTTCTAGGCATCCTCAGGCATGAGGAAGCTCCTAATTCGTTGAAGACACAATTTTTTTCTGGCAGAAATAACATCAGGGGGTTATGCTGGTGGAAATGAAGGTTACAGGCCAGATGATGAGTCACAGAAGGCTCAATTCTCGAGGGAGGCACTGTCTCAACTCTTAAAATTGGTGGAATCAAGGGTGCATACGAGGTGTGTATTGACAATATCATAAAACCTTGCCAGTGGTCTATACCAGTTTTAAGACTAGGAGTTGTATGTGGTCTTACAGACTTCTGTCTCAAATGAGGTTTGTAGTTCTGATTCTGGTACTTGGCCAAATTGTGAGCTGGCTGGCATGGGTTAGCTACAGCTGGTACATGAGACTGTTTGTTTGAGGTGCTCTGTTAGGTTTGTGATTTTGCAAGTATAGGATACCGTGTGATACTTTGCATAATAGGTAACCCTCCTGAAACAAAGAGCAAAAATAACAAAATGGGGTGTATAGATATCCTAGTACACCAATTTTATTCTTGTTGAAACCTCTGTAAACTTCTTAGTGATTGAGAAGTATTTACATTAAAATTCAACACTACAAGGGTTGAACTTCTTGTTTTCCAGATAGTTTCCTTTGGATATCTAGTAATGGTTTTAAATTCATAAGGGCATATGTTCCTCAGAATTTTTTTTTTAAAAAAACCCAGACCCTGGGTGGGACATGTTCGTGGTAATGCATGTAGCAAGCTGGAAAGGATCAAGTTAAGGCAGGTCTAGCGGTGGCCACAACCAAACCCATCAAGACCTTGAGTTGGTTCAAAGGGCAATCCAGGACCTGATATATGCAAATGAAGAGTTAATTTAATTTCACCAAGTCTTTTGATTGTCTTCTGGTCTTAATGCACTTGGATTACTTCTGATCTACTCACAGTGTTTAAATGCTACATCGTATATACGTATTACTGATTTCTTGCTTTGACTGTGATCTTCTTAGGTTAGTCTTTTAGTGTAATGTCTTGGTTTTTCATTTCATTCATGCAGCTAAATCTGAAGAGTTTATGGTATCAAATTATCAGTTAATCAATTCTAACAAGTTTCAGATGTTCTGAGGTTCATGAAATTATGTTATCACCTATGGCAGGATGTGTATTTTTGATGATGTTTTCAAGCTAATGTCGAGGCTAGATTTGATGGTGAGATACTATTTTTCTTGCTTTTCTTGTTAAACTGGTTTTCCATTATGTGCTGTAAATTTATCTTATCATCCAATAAGCATTGATGGTTTGAATTGAAGTGGATCAACCTCAAGCTGCTTCTTCTTTGTCGTATATGCCCTTAGATAACGACCATGAGTTGTGAGCTTGAGTGAGATCTCTTGCCATCCTAAAGTAAAGGTGCAAGCTGAAGTCTTGGTTCGGACACCGTTGCATTTGTATGATATAAAAAATATTGTCCTTAAGTTTTTTTTTCCCCTGATCATAGCCCTAAGGCCAAAGAATTTCATTAATTTTCTNGGACACCGTTGCATTTGTATGATATAAAAAATATTGTCCTTAAGTTTTTTTTTCCCCTGATCATAGCCCTAAGGCCAAAGAATTTCATTAATTTTCTTGATTTATAGCTTGAAGATTTTACATGGCCTTTTTTTTGTAGGTAGACTTTTCCGAGTTCTCGCGTTTCTATGATTTTGTTTTCTTCATTTGCCGTGAAAACAATCAGAAGAGCATCAGTAAGTCAATTATATTAGTAGAATGATATCATGACTTTGCAATGTCATCTTACAAGCCCTCTACAATTGTGCATTACAGGTTCTTGACATAATTTTCCTCATCCTTCTTATTGTATAATTTCAGCTGTAAGCATGGCAGTTACATCTTGGAGATTAATATTAGCAGGAAGGTTTCGACTGCTTAACCAATGGTGCGATTTTGTTGAGGTATTAGATATAACTTTTCATGAAGAAGAGTGTTAAAATTATTGTGTTCCTCTACTTAGGTCTTATTACTTCTATAGTATGTTAGTATAAAGCCATATTTTACAGTTCACATCCATTACAAATTCCAAATAGGTCTTTTGGATGGTGGGGTAGCATATCTGCAGTGAAGCCGGCCATCATTGTTTTCAAATAGTTGTGCATGTGGTTCCTTTTTTCAGATAGGGATTAGATACCTCACATTCTTTGTCATCTTCATGTATGGCTAAAACCGCCTATAATCACAGATGTGAGATATTAGGCATCAGTCGTAATTTTAGTATATGAGGGATGTAATTTTGGTAGTAAAAAAGGCCATACCCAATGCACATGACTCATGCTTATTGTGGGATCTGGGATAGCTAAGTGGGGCAATCTGATTCTTATTTGGATAAGACTGCTACTCGTGTTCAAACACTGGGCACCTCGCCAGATCCGATCCGTGGTTGGCCAAGAAAAATTTGATGCTTCTTTAGCATATTATTGTTTGAGTTTTTCTATTACAAATAGGTCAAAGAGAGATTTTCTGAAATGTCATGGGTGTAGTTGACTGAAATATTGTGGTGGCCTGATAGATTTGAATATTACTCAATATCTGTGGTGCTTCATTTCATAAATTTTTTGTAACAAGATACTTGTACTGTTACACAAATTGTCCTAGACAAAGATGTTATAGCACTGTGGTAAGATAGCTGGAATGGTGTCCAATTTGATGTACTAGTTGATTTCTTAAGATGGCAAATATTAGAATTTATTCTTTTCAAGAACCTTGAATGTTGTACATAGAAATAATCTAGACTGTTCCTCTAAATGGTATGCCAACTTTTCTTTCCATTCAGAAAATATGATAAACATTAAATTNAGACTGTTCCTCTAAATGGTATGCCAACTTTTCTTTCCATTCAGAAAATATGATAAACATTAAATTGGAATACTGGATGGTAATTGTATGACTTGTTGGACGTGATGATAAATTTTCTGTGCAAAATGGGCTTCACCAAAAAATAATCCATGATGTTTCTCTTTTTATTCATGTNTTGGAATACTGGATGGTAATTGTATGACTTGTTGGACGTGATGATAAATTTTCTGTACAAAATGGGCTTCACCAAAAAATAATCCATGATGTTTCTCTTTTTATTCATGTTTCCCCTTTTTATTGAATTTCTATTTTCAACTAATTAGTAGTTATCCTCTTGCAGAAAAATCAGCGACATAATATCTCTGAGGACACGTGGCGTCAAGTTTTAGCTTTCAGCCGGTGTGTACATGAAACTCTTGAAGGGTATGATCCTGAAGGTATTGATATTTGTTGTTTTCAGTTCTTTCGTTGTCTATCGTATTACGTGGGTTGGCCTTGGATTTGGGATTTAAAAGCAAAACAAATAAAAAAAGAAAAAAAAACTCGTGGTACAAAAACCATAAATCAATTTACTTCCATCCAAATCAGTGTTGAATGCTAAGTTGCAACATTTTTCTAAAAATAATTTCTGATACCAAGATCTTCAAAGGTATTGCCTATTAAGTTGCACTGTCAGAGATGGGAAGGCTGTGGTACGCTTTCCATTGTTTTGTACTGCAATGCATTGATCTTAGTCATTTTATGCTGTTTATTGCTTTGAAATAAATGATTATACATTGCCAAATCTGCCTTGAATCATAGCTAGATGGGTTTGCAGAGGATCAATTTTGTGGATCTGATTTCATGTTTTAATAACCCAAGAGACTAGATGCAGGCAACTTGATAAAGTCAACATTTTCCATGAGAAACATGTGGTCCGTCCTTCAGATTTCGTATGATTAGGTTTTCTGCTCTTATTAAATGAACGGTTTGGTATGAGACTTTGATAAATTCAATATCAATTTGAAGTGTGGGAGCAGCTAATTCCATGCCCTATTTTGATTATCCATTCTAAAACGATTGATTGAGGCAAAAATGCCATTGGGATAAGAATTTAATCTCATGTCCTGAGTCAATTCACTGCCTAAATCACACCAGCCCCCTATCTTTTGCCATCCAGCAATTTCTGCCAAGATTTCATCATAGTTTCCTTATCTAGCTCTTGATCCATCCTCAGAGACAACAATGTTAAGCCAGTACTGTCAGATATTTGGCCAATCGTAGATGAGATTGGAATTACTTACCAACCATGAAGTTCTTGGAGGGCAGTTGGCATAATGCATAATCATGAGAGGGTGATTTGCATGGTACCCCGTAGCCAAGCGTGTCAATGAGCTGATAGGAATATGGTGGGCCTTGTCATTTCCATATAGCACATAATCACAGTTTTCATGGGGATTTATGTGAATGAGCCTCATAAAGTTGAAGGACTGACTAACCTATTAAGCCCTCTCAAGCTATTCATAGATAAGAAAAATCTATCCAGCTTTGATGATCACAGATGTTAGTGAAGTATACACCTTCCTCTGAAGGTGTAGTTTGATGAGCAGAGGTGTGTATACAATTTCTTGTTTGACCAGTCCTCGTTGGGTCATGTCATTTAGAAGAGCGTTGTCTCTGTAGTTTCCTACTCGAAATGTTGACAGGTAAAGAGATGAGAAAGAGATGAAATAGTTGGTGTTATCACTAGAGACAAAAATTGGATATTGATGGTTATTGATGTATCCAATGGCTTTGATGAATGCTTTTTTACTGTGTTTTTCTGCCTGTTGGTTTATGGGTGGTGAGGGTGATAAGATCTCAATTTTGGGCTGTGGCGTTGGATTGGATTCAAGGAAGACACTGATGGCTTATGTGTGGTGATGGCGAGTGATGCATATTATGTTGTCATGCTTACACTTTTACTTGGGGATAATTATAGCAGTTCAAATTTATGAGTGGATAAGAAAAGTAGGGTCTGAAATTAGCTAGGCCCTTATAAAACTAGCACTAATTCAATTGTTTGTAATGAAAATGGTGGTTTTCATCTGATTCCTTTTGCCTTTTCTCTGTTGGCAGGAGCTTGGCCTGTTCTAATTGATGACTTTGTTGATCACATGTACAGGTTTGATCTCTACCCTAAAGAATCTTCTGCATGAACTTGCAGAAATGTTTCTCTAGAAACTCTTTTTATGGATGCTATGTCCTGTTTTCCTTCTTTAGTTTGCACAAATGTGATTTGCTTGGGAACATTGACGATAGTTATGTATTTTTACATGACTATCATTTATGGCTGATGTAAAGATGACTTGGAATTTTGTGTACTTTCTGGAAAAAGGGTCTGATCTTCCACCAAAATGATTCACTTTTTTTGATTTGGATGAGAGAGAAATTACTACGTATTAGCCAGACAGAGTTGATGAATGTATGTACAAACATGTTTTTTAACCAATCTGGTGGATGCATTGCAATTGTAATAGTGTAATGCCAGCATTTGTTTCTGAATTCTGCATTTTAGAGACATCACATGTTCCATTGTTTGAGCAGGATCACGGGATCCAACAATACTCCTGATTTGTTTTGTAAATGTGGTGATTCAGAACTGCAGACATTTGAGGACCCTCGCCCTGGTATGCATGCTATGACTTTGGAAAGACACTTATGCTGGACCAAAAATGTCAAACTATAACGCAATTCACAAGCATTTTTTACCGAATTATTGTCTTTTTATGTTGCAGGATTAAAAATTTTCCCTGGTTTGAAAAGGAAGTTGTTTGAGGACTTTCAAAAAGAACTGGAATCCTCAGGCAGATTTGCAAGCTCTACTATCACCACGAATTCTAAGAGAAGGCATGTCTATTGTGCCGACAAATTTATGAACCGGGGCGAGAATCCACCTGGTAGAGTTACAGATGAGTGCCAGGAAATTGTTGAACATAATAGCTCATTGGGTTGCTCCAAGTATCCCTGTTCTATTGAAGGTTGCCTGACCAGGGGTTTTGCTGGACTTCTCTCAAGCCGTTCCTGTTTGCAGATTGGTCGCAGAGGGAGAGTTTCTTATACATAGAGAATGTCTACGCGATTTGATATGATATGGTGGTGTCTTATTGGTTTTGTTTGGGCTTGTAAGTTATACGTATATCAAATTTCTTTTGGTTACTGGGTTCAGTTTGATGTATTATTTGCGGATTTTTTGCCGTGTTTAGTGAAGCCAATAAATGATGATATGGTGTATTGTTGCCTTTTTCGATTGAATTAATTTCGTCTCAAATATCAACATTTTCATTGTGCATCTTAAAGGGAAGTTTCATTTCATTCTGGCCACCAACTGCTGCTAGCAAAGACGGCGAAGGACGGAAGGAGTTTGCAGGGTGGACGAAAGGAGGTGGTGCGGTGACTTTCAATGGGTGAGATTCCTAGAGAGAGAGAGAGACAGAGGCTGTTTGATCAATGCATTAAACCAATTCTACATAATCAAAGGGCTTATTTAAGACAACTGGATAGCCATATTTCCCACTGCATGTATGGACTGACCATATTAGGATTTAAAGTTGATTGTTTAGGACTTGCTGTAAATTTAATGGTAATACTAAATTAAATCATCAAATTGAATCAGATGGTAGCATAATTCTTTGTCATTAAGTTAAATTTACAAATTCAAAGTTATTCTTAACACGATTCAATGTTGGCATTGTGATTACCTATCAATGGATCGGATTTTGATACGAATTTGAATCCAAATACGCTATCTTATATTCTACAGATTCAGATTTTGATATGCCTATATCCAATTCGATTATGGTCTGATGTGAATTATTTATATATTTTTATATAAATTTTAAAGAAATTGAGTGATTAATTAAAGAAATTTAGTTGAAATTTAGGTATAATTTGTTAAAATTTAGTTAATTAAGTTATTCGGATTTGATCAAAATTTTAAATTGTGAACAAAATCATATATGAATTACAAAAATAAAAATTCATTGAATTATTGGATCAAACTTTTGAACTCGAATTTGAATTTGGATAAGACAGAATTTAATTCAAATCCGATTTATTAACGGGCCTAATTGTGACCCATACCATCCAGGGTTGGGCTCCCAATCTGGATGGCATTACAAAATGCCTAGCTAATGGCAGGAATAAATGCACTTTAGAGAGATTCATTTATACACGATGGTCGTATTTCAATTCAACACTTATCAATTATTTTTGAGAGAAATCGAAGATTGGGCAAAAGTGTATAGTAGGGATCCGAATCTCATTTGGGTGGACATTGCATCATTTCAAATCCAAATAAGAACTAACTAAAAGATGTATCTACATTTTCAGACAAATACTAGGATGATGGAAACAAGAGTCCTGTGGGTACCCTCATAACTTTTCCTTCTTTGAACTCTATGTTCTTAAGCTTCTCTTGGCACCATTTGAGTTGAGAAGTGGAAATCAAAGACATCTTGAGCACCATTGATATCAGCTTCATGTCGATCATTGCATATAAGATTTCTTTCTTCTGAGACTCTCCCAAAGGGTTAGTTAATCTCTTCACCCAACACCTCTTCTTCCCTCTTAAGTCTTTCAACCGTAGCTCTTTCTTCAAAAGAACCAAAATACTTACAATTAATTTTTCGAGTGAATTGCACTTTGTATCTTAAAAGATTTTAAATTTTTTTATTTTGAACTCTCAAGTATTAATTTTTTTTATATTGTATGCTCAATGTATCAAAAGTATTGTAAAATGATCTTTCTGTTAGCTTTTTGCCAATTTTTTTGTTAATGTCAATGAGTTATTTTTAACGAAAAAAAATAACGGAAGCTAACAAAATGATCATATTACATCACTTTTGATCCATTAAAAGTGTAATATGAGAAATTTAATTTTTGAGAATGCAAAATGAGAATCTCAAAATTTTTCAAGATAAAAAGTAAGGAAAACCCTAATTTCTTAGCATTCTTTTAAAGAAAATAGATCTAAAACAAATGCGGAGAATCGAAACGCTCCAAATCTATTTTAGGGGTAAGACTACGACACTAATTTAATATTTTTTTTTTTTGGTACCGCACCGGAAGGTACTTGGTTGTAACTCAATCTGGTGAGATTCTTATAAAATATATATATATTTTTTTGTGAAATCTATCCTTCATTGAATTGTAATTAAATCTTACTTACATTATTAAGTTTAAATTCTTATACGAAGTGGGGTAGTGGTTGAAATTACCTGTTGAAGTGTCTTGGTGAGGTCAGCTAGGAGCTTTAAGTCGCTAGGGTCTTCTACAGGAGGATAGGTCCACAAAAAACTCTTTATCTTCCACCAAGGTTTCCTCTTGTCTGTTTTAATGTATAACCAAAACGCCTTAACGCAGTTCTCTATGGCGTTCAACACTTCTGTTACCCTCATGGCTTCTCCATTCATTCCTTCTTTTTCTTCCTCCATATATCCTTCAAAGTTAGATAATTGCAATAAGAGAAAACATTAAAATGCATCAATATCACTATTTTTTTTATATTCATTGATTTATCTATTCTAATTTGGTGGATAGTTTCCAATTGGGGTAATAACACTTTTAATCCCTAAATTATGTATTTTTTGTTAGTTTATTTCTCATTATATCAATTTAGTTCCTAAATTATTCAATTTGTGTCACTTTGGTTCCTTCATAGATTGACCCTTAAATTTTGGAAGAAATGATCACGTGTTGGGCACGTGATACCGTNTATTTTTTGTTAGTTTATTTCTCATTATATCAATTTAGTTCCTAAATTATTCAATTCGTGTCACTTTGGTTCCTTCATAGATTGACCCTTAACTTTTGGAAGAAATGATCACGTGTTGGGCACGTGATACCATNTTTAGTTGAAATTTAGGTATAATTTGTTAAAATTTAGTTAATTAAGTTATTCGGATAAGAGAGAATTTAATTCAAATCCGATTTATTAACGGGCCTAATTGTGACCCATACCATCCAGGGTTGGGCTCCCAATCTGGATGGCATTACAAAATGCCTAGCTAATGGCAGGAATAAATGCACTTTAGAGAGATTCATTTATACACGATGGTCGTATTTCAATTCAACACTTATCAATTATTTTTGAGAGAAATCGAAGATTGGGCAAAAGTGTATAGTAGGGATCCGAATCTCATTTGGGTGGACATTGCATCATTTCAAATCCAAATAAGAACTAACTAAAAGATGTATCTACATTTTCAGACAAATACTAGGATGATGGAAACAAGAGTCCTGTGGGTACCCTCATAACTTTTCCTTCTTTGAACTCTATGTTCTTAAGCTTCTCTTGGCACCATTTGAGTTGAGAAGTGGAAATCAAAGACATCTTGAGCACCATTGATATCAGCTTCATGTCGATCATTGCATATAAGATTTCTTTCTTCTGAGACTCTCCCAAAGGGTTAGTTAATCTCTTCACCCAACACCTCTTCTTCCCTCTTAAGTCTTTCAACCGTAGCTCTTTCTTCAAAAGAACCAAAATACTTACAATTAATTTTTCGAGTGAATTGCACTTTGTATCTTAAAAGATTTTAAATTTTTTTATTTTGAACTCTCAAGTATTAATTTTTTTTATATTGTATGCTCAATGTATCAAAAGTATTGTAAAATGATCTTTCTGTTAGCTTTTTGCCAATTTTTTTGTTAATGTCAATGAGTTATTTTTAACGAAAAAAAATAACGGAAGCTAACAAAATGATCATATTACATCACTTTTGATCCATTAAAAGTGTAATATGAGAAATTTAATTTTTGAGAATGCAAAATGAGAATCTCAAAATTTTTCAAGATAAAAAGTAAGGAAAACCCTAATTTCTTAGCATTCTTTTAAAGAAAATAGATCTAAAACAAATGCGGAGAATCGAAACGCTCCAAATCTATTTTAGGGGTAAGACTACGACACTAATTTAATATTTTTTTTTTTTGGTACCGCACCGGAAGGTACTTGGTTGTAACTCAATCTGGTGAGATTCTTATAAAATATATATATATTTTTTTGTGAAATCTATCCTTCATTGAATTGTAATTAAATCTTACTTACATTATTAAGTTTAAATTCTTATACGAAGTGGGGTAGTGGTTGAAATTACCTGTTGAAGTGTCTTGGTGAGGTCAGCTAGGAGCTTTAAGTCGCTAGGGTCTTCTACAGGAGGATAGGTCCACAAAAAACTCTTTATCTTCCACCAAGGTTTCCTCTTGTCTGTTTTAATGTATAACCAAAACGCCTTAACGCAGTTCTCTATGGCGTTCAACACTTCTGTTACCCTCATGGCTTCTCCATTCATTCCTTCTTTTTCTTCCTCCATATATCCTTCAAAGTTAGATAATTGCAATAAGAGAAAACAATAAAATGCATCAATATCACTATTTTTTTTATATTCATTGATTTATCTATTCTAATTTGGTGGATAGTTTCCAATTGGGGTAATAACACTTTTAATCCCTAAATTATGTATTTTTTGTTAGTTTATTTCTCATTATATCAATTTAGTTCCTAAATTATTCAATTTGTGTCACTTTGGTTCCTTCATAGATTGACCCTTAAATTTTGGAAGAAATGATCACGTGTTGGGCACGTGATACCGTCTAAAAAAATGATACGTGCTCACTTCTATCAAAAAACTTGATGGATTATGTGATTAGGAACCAAAGTTATACAAATTGAATACTTTAGGGATCAAATTAATAAAATTAATACAATGAGGACTAAATTGACAAAAAATACTTACTTTAGGGACTAAAATTACTATTAACCCTTTTCAAATTAATGGGTATGGATAAGCACTGATTATTTAATAACCAACTTGATCAATAGATTAGTGGGTGTTTTAATCCTCATGAACAAGCTTCATTTTTATTATAAATATTGGTGTTAGTTAAAATACCTGAAACCTCAGGAACTTGGAGTAGACTCTTCACAGAAAACCTTCTTTGGACATAATTCCAATATCTTTTGCCCTCACTCCTTTCATCTTCCATAAACCTCTCCAACAGTATTTGAAACTTTTGAAATCTCCCTGCAACATTATTGTAGAAAACGCCATTGGTAGACCTAGAGGAAGCAAGAGCCTCGACCTTTGTGTATTGGTGATGGAGGGCCTCCCAGGACAAGCATGACTGAGCCACATAAACCATTTCAAAGTCACTTTCCAAGCTTTTTAAAAGCCTTTTCTTAGCCATTTTCTTCCATGGGATATGTGGGATGGACAAATGAACTGCCTCTATGCTCCCAAATGAACTGGGGCTGGTCAATTGCTTGCTCAGGATTGCACCTATATAACAACAACCAATCAAATTGTTAAAAACCAGTCAAGTGGTAACATAAAAAATGTGATAAAATTTTTAGGGTAGAACTTTGGTACCGTACTAAAATTTATAAATAAGTAGGGATTAGTTACAATTTTGTGGGCTCAAATTTATGCTTAAAAAGTTGGGATTGATCCTAGATGGTAAGATCAATCCTAAAAGGTTAGGATCGATATGAAACAACCCCATTGAATCCTAAAACATGCCAGATTAAATTGTAATTTTGGCCTTATTTTGTAGTAACTTGTCGTATGGTACAAAAATTAAGTCTTAATCTTATGTTTATGATGTAATGTGATGAATAAAATACTCACTTATTCCACAAGTTCTGTCGTGATTGAGAACATCAAACCATTTCATCCTTTCAGTGTACTTGTTGTAAAAATCATCCATTTCTTCCCCATTGTTTTCATCATTGGACTCTGGTTCCATGACTGGTGAATTTGAGCTACAAACTGATGGAAAATACACATTCATCTCCACCTCTTCAGTTGATGAAATGTAGCCACTAATGGAGGAAGAAGATCGAGTCATATCCGCGTCGCTGGTGGGTGTACCTGAGCTCAAGCCAGAAGATATATACTCCATCGAACTCTGATCATCACAACTATGAACTTCTGTTTCTTCCATTGCTTGATCTACATGAAGAACTGAACCAACCTTGTAATCAATGCCCTTTTCAAACCCTCTTGTCTGAAGTTCATATACTTCAACCACATGTCTGAAATCTAAAATCTGATCTTGACTAATCATTTGTGGTTCTTCATACTCCACCACCTCATCTAAAACTTCAGTACTGGCTATTTTAGTGATGAATGACTTAATAAAGATGATCCAGCTTCTTAAAAATCTGAAAATGCATGAACCCACGAAAGAAATGATTCTGAAAGGAATAAAGTCAAGAGACACTATGAGTAAAAGCCATCTTTGTAGGGTTTTGAGCCATAGGTAGATCTGACAGAGAAAGAGAAAAAGGGGAAGGATATAGAAGCTCAAATAAAACCACTTAACAAATCCATCTGGGATGAGGAAAGATTCAATGATCATCCAACAAGATGCCAGAAGAGCCATTTTTGAGACTCTCACTCCTTCATAAGTACTATTTTATTTATATAACTGGGATACCCAATTTTCTCAGTGATATATAAGAACATGCAGGGTGGTTAACACTGAAATGTCGAGGAAAGATAAGAATGGAGATCTGCCCTTTGAACAATTATAAAAAATTAGTTGTTTGTGGGTCAATAAGATTTTTGTTAGATATTTTTTTACTTTTCCTTTAAGATTAGCAAAGCTTGGCTTCTAACACACTTTGGGATGGCATCCCTTGACTAGCTAACGCATTAACATTACTATACTAATTTGCTTACGTGGATTCTAGCAACCTAAGGGGCGTGGTGTCTCACTATGTATATGTACTTTTTTATATGATGCTGATATCAATTTTGGTGACCGAGCATTNTGTCTCACTATGTATATGTACTTTTTTATATGATGCTGATATCAATTTTGGTGACCCATTTTGGTGACCCGGGCAGTTGCAAATTTAAATGTTTTGAATTTGAAATTTGAAAATTTTATTTTGAATCCCGGTGATGACTTATTTATTCTTCATAAATTTCTCAGTCCCCGTGTGAATGACTTGAATTTTGCTTTTGATCGGATTAGAGAAGAAATTAGTNAATCCCGGTGATGACTTATTTATTCTTCATAAATTTCTCAGTCCCCGTGTGAATGATTTGATTTTTGCTTTTGATCGGACTGGAGAAGAAATTAATTCAAATGTACATAGACTATCCCGAATACTCCTGATCACAATACCAAAAAAAAGAAAATAGGATAACTCCTAGAGCTCTTATCGATGGAGTCGATTGACACCTCGATGTTGACTCATTACATCTTGGGGTTGAAGAAAGTTCTAAGGTTTCACTTATTTGCCAATTCAAGTGGCACGTAAGTTGAGTTTAGAATATCATGAAACAATTCAATTCTTATTTATCATTGGTGTTTAAGGAAGGATTGCCAGGAGCCAACCCTAAAACGAGAATACTGGTTGGGCCAACCTTTGGTGTACCCGTTGCTATGCCAATAGCAATGCCGCAAAACTAAGTTGGTTTTACTAGCCCAAAAAAAAAAATTTACAACAAATTTCAATACACTTCCAAGAATTTGCCCCATCCACACACCTACTCTACCCTTTAAAATAATGTCAGATAAAATAAGCATACAATAGATAGCACAGGTCCATATATAAAACAAGAAGGAGCTGTCTTTTACATGAAATGCGGTTATGTCATGGCTTGCGTAAGCTGTTCAATTGAAACATTTGTCTTGATGGTTTTCTCGTAATCATATAAGAAAATGAAAGTGTAACTGTCGTGGAAACGTAGGATAGGAAATCTATTCATCGAACAAGCAAAGTGCAAACTAGTGGGGGGGGGGGGGCAAGGGGGATGAGAAGCTGGGACTGTGAAGAGGGTAATACGTCATTAGCCTTGTCTGCTCTTACATCACACACTCACATGAAGATAATCATGAATTCAGTCAATGGTTTCTACACCTCAACCTTCACTAGTAACAACCCACCTAACCTTAATATTAGAGTTTCTTAATACAGACACCTATCCTGCCCGAGGTATACGTTTGCAATAATGAAACTCAACAGGAATTAATGAGAGCCTGTAGAATCGAAGAATGCTGATTGGACCAAGCGTAAGACTACAGTAAATCAAAAGAGGTATTCCACCAAATGTCATGATTTTTTTAGATAAGTTATAATTAAATGAAGTCAAGTTTCGACAAAATGGTAGGATCAGTGTCGATCAATCCCATTTGATGTTAACTTTTTTAGGGAACATCATTGGATGTAACAATTCACTGAGTTGAATTATACCCTTAAAAAAAACACTAATCGGTCAAGATCNTAGGGAACATCATTGGATGTAACAATTCACTGAGTTGAATTATACCCTTAAAAAAACACTAATCGGTCAAGATCAGTTGCCAAGGCCGGCTGGATTTCATTGTCATGACGATTTTTTTTTTTTTTTTTTGTGTTTTTTCTTATTTAATACGTACAAATAGTGCGCATCATAATGTTCTACGTTGAGAAATAAATATTTATGATGAGCCAAAATCTAATTGGATCAAACTCAATAAATCAAGTAAGCTCAAATCAGTTAAAATGATCGGTTAGGTCCGGCTTGTAAAGTCTACCAATTCTAAGGTCCAAGGAGTTCAAGAAAATTAGAACACATGAGAAGCAATTATCGGGATATCCAATTTCAAAGATTAAGACAGTCTTTAATTATATTTATCTTTTGTAGCTATCCTCCCCAAATGACAAAATGACTTTACCCTCACGTCATCGTCACTTCAACTAAGACTCTATGCCTATAAATTGTAAACTCTCTCTATATGAAAAGGGATATCTCTACACACACATAGCTTTTCTCTCTCCTAAATATTGTATCCCTTCTAGAGCTAACAATTGTTCTCTCTCGTTCACCTTACTTTATCAATATAAGTCGTTTTTCAGAGTGGAGTAGGTCATTCAGACCAAACAACTATATATTTGTGTATTGACCCGATATTTATATTATTGTCATTGATTACTCTATTAATTGTTTATTAATTACATTTTATCACACATTTAAATATTGATCTTACATAACACAATTTTGTGCATCACCATCAGGGGCCTAGTCGGGTGTGGATTGGATTGTATCTAAAAGTCTCTCTCTTCCCATCACGAGGAAAAGAGAAGAAAAGGAAGAGAAAGATTAAAGAAGTAATTTATACATTGTTTGCTTTTAGTAATTTGGTACCTCAATTTGTGTTGGTGGTGTCCATGTATTTTGGGTGCATAATGTCACCATCGGCCCCAATCACTATACAAAATATTTATTGTGGAGTAAATACTGAATGTAAGGGTAAACCTTCTTTCTTTACATCAGTCGATTTTTTTTTTTTTTTGTCTTATGGATATCTAGGTTAGTTTTTGCATATTTTGATTAACTCTCTAGACGATCCGTTCAAAGACAAATCATCAACGCTAAAACTAGGAAATATATAAAGGATAAATCCCCCATGACTTGTCTCAAAAAAAATTATCAAATTTTAAATTCAGAATGTCTAAATTTACAGCTCATCCTTCTCTCAATTGAATTACCCTTAAGATTAGATGAGTCAATTATTAATATGGATGGAGTAGTTAATACTGATGTGGGGTTGACTTAATCACTTATTAATTTAATATAAATTGAATATTGTCCGGTAAAGGTCCGATCCACACCCCTCTAAGGAAGATCATGCCTTCTTGTCCCGTTTGGGAATAGTTGGGGTTAGGGGTTGACAGTTTGTGAGCTTTTTTTCTATTTTGTTTTTTGGGGTGGGGGTAAACTTCTGAAATTAAAAAGCAATACTAAATAATAGCTCTCAATANTTTTTTTTTTTTTGTCTTATGGATATCTAGGTTAGTTTTTGCATATTTTGATTAACTCTCTAGACGATCCGTTCAAAGACAAATCATCAACGCTAAAACTAGGAAATATATAAAGGATAAATCTCCCATGACTTGTCTCAAAAAAAATTATCAAATTTTAAATTCAGAATATCTAAATTTACAGCTTATCCTTCTCTCAATTGAATTACCCTTAAGATTAGATGAGTCAATTATTAATATGGATGGAGTAGTTAATACTCATGTGGGGTTGACTTAATCACTTATTAATTTAATATAAATTGAATATTGTCCGGTAAAGGTCCGATCCACACCCCTCTAAGGAAGATCATGCCTTCTTGTCCCGTTTGGGAATAGTTGGGGTTAGGGGTTGACAGTTTGTGAGCTTTTTTTCTATTTTGTTTTTTGGGGTGGGGGTAAACTTCTGAAATTAAAAAGCAATACTAAATAATAGCTCTCAATACCCCATTTACAATCAAATCCCTCTTTTTATCAGAATTATAAATGGAGCAAACTGAAGGAATTGGGATCAAAATCTACAATGCAACCCCACAAGATGATGGCCATGTGAGGCCATTACATACCCCTCCGCTCCTCATTCTGTCACTAGGTGGCTGGAAACGACGTGCCGTTGCAAACGGAGTACAGAAGACCTTTTAGAACACTTCTCACATTCGAGATGGTCATTCCCTCCACATACCACAATGGTGAATGCACTCCAGTTAGCACTATGATGATCCACGTCCAATTAGTTTTGTGCTCTCTTTCGTGCTTATTTTTCCACTTCACCGATAGTTTTCACGGTCCGAACGGTAAAGTGTACTATGGTTTTGTGACAAGTCAGAGTTTGGAGGTGTTCAAGCTTGGTGTCACAGTGGAAGTGCCCAAAGAGGAGAGATTTACGCTTAGTTTCACAGACTGTGCATGCAATCATATCGGTGATGGTGTTCATGGCTTATTTTACTTCTATAATTATTCATTAAGAATAAGAATGCTACGTAGAACTTTCAACATTCATTATACTATGAGCTACACGGCACTATTCATTCTATCATTCAATATTAACGGAAAAGAGAAGAGGGTCTAATAAAAGGAGGAAACACTTTTTCTAAAAAATCCATTACCCAACTGCTCTATGTATCAACGCTAGAGATGTCGATAGTTGCAAATCCGTTCCTGTATTTCCGGGCTACGAGAAGGACATGGACGAAGCGATGGAGAGTTTTCCATTAATGACTGGGATTGTTTATAGTGATTTGTTCTTTGTATTTCCTAATACTCGATATGGGATTGGGTGCATGGCTACATGATAAAAAAAGGTGGTTTTAAGGCTCGTGTGCATGGCTACATGATTGTAATGCATGTGCCAAGTGCAAGAATTTGTAGGATACTGTTTGGGTTCCCTAATGATTATTGATTACAACAAATAAATTCACATACTATTCTTATGTGAAGTAGAAAAAACAAATCATAAACCTAGACCTGTAGAAAGAGTGCATATTTGCTCTTACAAAAAGAGAAAAAAGAAAATTTAATTCAAAAATTTAAAAACTTTACTACCTATTGAAACAAGATGTGCAAAACAAGATCCATGGTCAGATTGTGGCAGCAAAAGGGAAAGGAGAAACAATATCATGAAATGCTTAGAGAATTTACCCCATCTAGTGATGACATGAGGAGAAGCAATTGACAAACAAAAGATTCGACATCTTCACGCCACATAACTCTGACAATTAGCAGATTGTGAAACTAAGCATGAACTTCGAATAATGAAAGTTCAGTTAATGCACTTGTAAGAGTATAAAAATGTATTCTCAGCTATATATCACAACAGTTTAGCCACGCATGAGCATTATATTGAATGTTTGAAGCAGTCCTCTAATAACAATAGCTGCAGCAAGAACTCTTAGATGAATAAGTAACAAGGTATAGAAGATTTTAAAGAATCTGTCGATGAAGGAGACAACGAAGTAGTTGTTTAATGACAAAATCATGAGCAGAGGACAAAAAACATTTTCCAGATAATACTCCAAATCCTACAGCAAAGGGCAAAAGTTTCAACCTATAGTGACATAGAAATTCCACCTCCAACCACTGGGCGTAGGATAAACAGGATATTCTCCAAGTGACTTCCAAACAAACGCATAGCAAATAACTACCTATGTTATGTTATAATATCTGATGACAATCAGATTTGACCTTCATTTTGATTCCTCGAAATCTGGGAACACTTCACTTGATATGGACGAACTTCGATAACTGATCAAATTTTGGAGGGCCGGTGAGATTCAATACCACAGAGAAGACGATGAACTAAAGATTAGAAAAATAAGTAGTATAGATAGAAGATGGAAAATAGGAGATGGAAGATAAATGAGTTACAATCGATATCTTCTAATGTCCTATAATAGAATACTTATCTGCTTAAAATAAATAGTTCCTATCAGTTTATGCTCTCGTTTCAGAATACGAAAGATATGAAATCTTTATAGCAAATCAATAANAAACAAGATCCATGGTCAGATTGTGGCAGCAAAAGGGAAAGGAGAAACAATATCATGAAATGCTTAGAGAATTTACCCCATCTAGTGATGACATGAGGAGAAGCAATTGACAAACAAAAGATTCGACATCTTCACGCCACATAACTCTGACAATTAGCAGATTGTGAAACTAAGCATGAACTTCGAATAATGAAAGTTCAGTTAATGCACTTGTAAGAGTATAAAAATGTATTCTCAGCTATATATCACAACAGTTTAGCCACGCATGAGCATTATATTGAATGTTTGAAGCAGTCCTCTAATAACAATAGCTGCAGCAAGAACTCTTAGATGAATAAGTAACAAGGTATAGAAGATTTTAAAGAATCTGTCGATGAAGGAGACAACGAAGTAGTTGTTTAATGACAAAATCATGAGCAGAGGACAAAAAACATTTTCCAGATAATACTCCAAATCCTACAGCAAAGGGCAAAAGTTTCAACCTATAGTGACATAGAAATTCCACCTCCAACCACTGGGCGTAGGATAAACAGGATATTCTCCAAGTGACTTCCAAACAAACGCATAGCAAATAACTACCTATGTTTTGTTATAATATCTGATGACAATCAGATTTGACCTTCATTTTGATTCCTCGAAATCTGGGAACACTTCACTTGATATGGACGAACTTCGATAACTGATCAAATTTTGGAGGGCCGGTGAGATTCAATACCACAGAGAAGACGATGAACTAAAGATTAGAAAAATAAGTAGTATAGATAGAAGATGGAAAATAGGAAATGGAAGATAAATGAGTTACAATCGATATCTTCTAATGTCCTATAATAGAATACTTATCTGCTTAAAATAAATAGTTCCTATCTGTTTATGCTCTCGTTTCAGAATACGAAAGATATGAAATCTTTATAGCAAATCAATTACCATAACTAATGAAGAGGGATAAAATTGATATTAGTGTGAAAATTAGGGAAAAAATGTACCGATAGGGAAGTGAATAAGGGTAATGTCGTAATGGAAAGAGCTTGTTGTGAGGACGACGGGAAGCGATTGGTGTCGCCATATACAGAGATGGAGAAGGGATCGCAATGATTATTTTCAGCACAGCGGTAACGTGAGGATCACAATCCTGGGGTAAATGGAAATTTTCAGCAGACATTTCGTTTTTCACTATAACGAACTACGCTTCTGCTCCACAGCTGGCCACTAAAATATTCATCGTTGTCATCTATCGCCAAATTCTAAAACCTCTTTTTAACATATTCTGATATTGCTGTGGTTGGCTTTATCCAACTCTCCGTTGGAAAGGTGAGAGACAGATGAAAGGATATTGCGAGAGGTGTAGCGTCAAAACATTGGTATCCGGAAGGCCTAACGTTGGATCCAAATTCTAACCGGTAATAGATGCATTCCATGGACAGTGAATATAAGGAAGAAATTGAGATTATTGTAGTATAAGATTGATTAAAGGTTAAAATTAATTATTAAAGTTCAAATGGAAATAATTAAATGTTAATTTTATGTACATAATTAATTTAAGAAGATGAAAGGATATGAGTAGATTATGCAGTTAATTGAAGAAAATAAAAATAAATAAGAGAATATGATTGACTTTATAACAATGATCAAGGACAAAATAGTCAAACAAAAATTTTTCACTTTTTTTGACACTTTAAAATAGTATAGTATATAGATTTCTCCTCATTTAAAGACTCATCTTTTTTTCTTCCTCCTTTAGACATGAATTGTCGAACTCAAACTTGAACAAGTTATTTAAAGTTCAACGTCAAGAGTCAGTGTTGAACCCAAATAATTTTGTGAGCGAACAATCTTAGTCTAAACAGACTGATTCTCAATTCAATCTGGTTCATTTGGATCCCTAGCTAGAGTACAGGGACTTTGTGACGATTAATGAAACACATTGCAAGCTTAAGTGGGGGAAATGACTTTTGCTGTATTATGAGAAGTTCCACAAATATCTAGAAAGAAACATTTTTTTCACAATATAGAAACTTGTTAAAGAATTTTGAGAAATGTAGAGAAATTTAGTGAGGCAAGGAAAACTCTAGTACATAATAAATATTAAGATATATCATATAAGAATTCTACAAGATATTTGACTAAGAATTCTACGAGATAGTCCATCATCCCCAAACCCACCCCCATCCCCTCCCAAAACCAACCACCATCCCTTACCAAAATCACCATCAAACCATCACCACCACCACCCTTTGCCACCCATCCCATACTCACCAACATAGCACTGCCTCTTTCCCTCTATCAGTAATCCATAGCACAACANAGATAGTCCATCATCCCCAAACCCACCCCCATCCCCTCCCAAAACCAACCACCATCCCTTACCAAAATCACCATCAAACCATCACCACCACCACCCTTTGCCACCCATCCCATACTCACCAACATACCAAAATACCTAGAACACGCAAGTCTTGTACGACTACAAACCCTAACCTCGAGCCAATTTTAATATTTGCTCTCGACTCTCGCAAGATTTGAATGATTGTACGACCACCAATCACGTCTCCAATATTTGTAGTATGGAAAAACAAACGGATAGTAAACTCTTTTGAAATTGATTCATTCATTGGCATGGGAAGGTACGGAAAAATGGACACATAAGTCGATATAGCATCACCCCTATCGAAGCCCTCAGCCGCGAGGTCACTTGTAAAAGAGCATCCTAAACTAGCCATGTCTCCAGCAATCTAATAAAAATTTAAAATTAGTTACAAAAAATCAAATGTATAATATGGGTATACTTGAAAATAGTTTAGGAAAACATTTACCTGAATCATTTGATCATCTGCCTTGGGAATNTCACCATCAAACCATCACCACCACCACCCTTTGCCACCCATCCCATACTCACCAACATACCAAAATACCTAGAACACGCAAGTCTTGTACGACTACAAACCCTAACCTCGAGCCAATTTTAATATTTGCTCTCGACTCTCGCAAGATTTGAATGATTGTACGACCACCAATCACGTCTCCAATATTTGTAGTATGGAAAAACAAACGGATAGTAAACTCTTTTGAAATTGATTCATTCATTGGCATGGGAAGGTACGGAAAAATGGACACATAAGTCGATATAGCATCACCCCTATCGAAGCCCTCAGCCGCGAGGTCACTTGTAAAAGAGCATCCTAAACTAGCCATGTCTCCAGCAATCTAATAAAAATTTAAAATTAGTTACAAAAAATCCAATGTATAATATGGGTATACTTGAAAATAGTTTAGGAAAACATTTACCTGAATCATTTGATCATCTGCCTTGGGAATTTCCCTGGAAACTATGCGGATATTAGGTGTACCAATTATCCCAATTAGGCAAGCCAACATGAGAAGTTGGCATGAGGAGTCGAGTAATCAATAAGCAAGGAGATGAATCTCTCTCAAATTTCTCGTTGCAAGCGTTGTTGCTTCGATGGTTGGTGAGATAATGTCTTCAAATCCTTAGACTTTTAATTGAGTTTCAAATTAGTTCTTACATTAAAATTCACTAAATTATTGTGAAGGAATGACCTTTCGTGATCAATATATAATTTGGATGAAATGGTATATTTGTCCGATGAATTTTTTTTTCATGTAGGCAAAAAAATCTTATTATATTTCTTCTGATTTTGAGAAAAAGAAGATAACAAATCGGAAAAGAAAGCTAAAGTGAGAATTTGAGAAATACTTTAAGAAATAGGTAGAAAGAAAGAGAGAAATAACAACATCTTTGAAACAATTTTTTTCTAGACAAATCTTGTGATGTTCTTCTATTCGAACTA